CATAAAAGGCTTGGGCTGAGGGTCTGATTAAGATCCAGACCATGCCATTACACACAGAAAGTGAAGCCAGGGTCTTGGAATATTTGCAAAAATAAACACCATCAGCCCAGCCCACCCTGCAACAAATCTTAAGCAGCCCCATAAAGACCCTTTACAGTCCCTGCTGGACATGATGTAAGTGTTGGGCAGCCTCAGCAGCCCCTCCTCAATCCCTGCCCGCTCTGGAAACTCCATATGCACCCACCCGGGCACACTTCCTCCTGCCCTCCCCTGGGCCTGTGGCTGCAGGGGGAAGGAGCAGTGCTGCTTTCAAAGCTGGCATCTACTTTTGCTGTATGTTCTTAAAAAACCTACATGGACTACGCTGCTACAGTTGTGTGCCATAGGAACGTGACAGTCACAAGAGAGGCAGCAGGTGAAAAAGAAGCAGCAGGGAATAATACAATTATGACTTTCCAGAGGGGTGCCTTAAGGTCATCAGCCACTTTCATTAAAATTATATTCATGTTCCTCTAAACTAGGGTCAGGCTATTGTTTATTATAGCACCTAACTGCCTTTGCACATTCTGGACTCTATAGGAACAAGTAGCAGATACCTAAGAAACTTGTGCTCCTAAGAAGCAACCTCGGAACATAAGTGAAAAAAAGTGGGTACAGCTACCATTATGAAGCAGCTAAGGAAACTAAGCTCAGATCTATAGGCAGAGCTCTTTTTTTTTTTTTCTCCTTTACCCCCCTCCCCCTCCTCTTCTTGCTAAAATTTGAGAGGGTGATTCAAAACCGTATGAAAAGAACAGCATATTATAAAGTTCAGGTGAGTTACTTAGAAATCTTTTTGGAACAGTGATGCTTAAGGGAATTGTGTGTGCTATTAGAAGTTTTGTACATAGGATGTACTACATCATATATGAAATTGCATTTCTCAATCACCTTCCAGGAATCCCTTAGAAGTTTTCCACAGAAACCCTCCACCTCCACTTCATAGTCCTCAAGTTAAAAACCAGTGCTCTAGAAATAGTTTCTCTCCTGGTTTGGTCTTTTGATTTTTTTTCCCCATGGTTTTTATAGGGGCTTTCTTGAAAGGGGAATACAGCAGTGCTATTTGATGCTGAAGGTTATATGTCATCCTTTTATTTCATTTGATGTTCTTAACTTACTGTATAAACATAAAAAAACCTCATTTGAGGAGTCTGTCATTTAGTGTGTATAACAGTATTTTTTTTTTTTTAATATTTTCATCCTGAAGCTATCACCATCTGGAAATACCACAGGAAAACAATAAAAAGCCCATCTAGGTTCACAAGACTTGTTGCTTGCAGTACTTGAGCAAGAAGATTAGTATCCCCATTCATTCATTTATTTATTCTATCCACACACAACATTAAGTAAATTTTAAATCCAAGCAGATTGGAAAGCTCCTGCTACTGCTTATATGCCAAAACCCAAGCTGAGGTTATCATATTTGCCTTGCAGCAACCAATGACAATTTGCACTCCATAAAGTATCATAAGCAGTTTGTAGCTGTGTTTGTAGATGGCTGTAGGACACCAGCTGTGGCAAAGTACAGACAGCCAAATCTTGTCTTCGCAGGCATAGGAAAAAAATTATTTCTACCCACTTGAAGTTCAAATACATTGGTAAGACTTCCCCCCCCCCCTCCACCCCCAAACCCAAGAGCCTATGGGTGGTTTTTTTGAATTGCTACTGTGTTCTTTGCCAGTTGTCCTTCTGAGCATTCAGAGTGCACACAGGCCACAGCACATGCCTCAGCAGTGAGGTTTGCTCAGGTCTTTTGGAAAAAGACCCCCAAAAAAACTCACCAAAATCACAAAACCAAAACTATCCTGTTTCTAGAACAGTCACAGTGCAGGCATACATTACAGACATGAATGGCATATTTCATTTAAACATCATTTTTGTACAGCAAAGTTGCAGCCTCAGATTTTATCTGCTTTTGTATTTCCCTTTTAATAACTCCAGTAGTGTCTGTGGTTATTAACATCAGAACTTTTTTTGGTAAGTTGGTGAATTTATAAAAAATAGAGCTCAATGGCATTTTCCCCTGTATGATTCTACTTGGCTATGTTAAAGTCAACTCCCTCAGTATGCTCTTTTACATAATATTTAAACCCAGTATACCCCACAGCAAGGGCAACTCCAGCCCACATCCCACATCTACATTCAGCATCCTTTCAGTTCAATTTGGTTTATAGTTGAAGCTGGGACATGGTGCTTGATCTTACAGAGGGCTGAGTGCTGTGGACCCAGTCTAAGAAGTTACTTCAGCAGAGCACGTACATACACAAGTGTTTTGAAGCCAGAGCTCTGAGAGCCTTCCAGGATTTAGGTGGCAGTCTATGGCAGAAAAAGAAGCATCCTCAGAAGGTTTTCCTTTCTCTGGTGGATACTTTGGACGGTAAACACAAGTCCATATTGTAATTTAGAAATGAAGATACTTTTACAAATAAGTGGCATTTCTGTCTTCCCTTTTCACATTGGAAACAAACAGAAAATTTGCTTACCACAGTGTGGTGTCCTTCATTGCAATAAATACGTACCTGGCTCTGAACAATAAGTATTTGCCCAAGCAAATATTAGCTCTTCGAACAACAGCTACATTGGAAGCAGATGCAGTTATCTCAGCTGCTTGTGTTGGTCATAGCAAAGTTTTTCTGTTTGCGTCTTCCCTAATCCTTATTCCTTGCACTTCAAGAGACAATAGGTTGAATCCAAAGCTTCTAGTCACACCAAAGCAACTCCACCAGCAGGATAATTGAGATGCCCAAAAAATTTGGCCATCTAACTCCTAGTTTAAGACTTTCTGAAAAGTGTCTTTGATGGTTAATCTCACCTGTTTTAGTGCCTGGTAGAGGGGCAAGTCTATTAGTATTACCCAATGATAAAGCTTTCCCAGCTTACTGGCCTTCTC